CACTCGACCATCCTAGGGCTCCTCAGTGGCTGTGACGGAAGCTTTCGTGCGACTCCACAAGGCAGGGTTGTTGTACCGCAGCCGGCAGCTTGTCAACTGGTCGTGCGCCTTGAGGTCAGCCATCTCGGATGTCGAGGTGAGGCGGGGGAAGAGAAGGGGCCGCGGGGGAGCGCGTGGCGGGTGGAAGCCCAGAGTCTGGAGCCAGCCTGCCCGACTCAGTCCAAGTCCTGCCGTCAGCGGCTCTGAGCCTCAGTTTTCGCAATCTGAACATCAGGGCTGATGGGAAAGCCCTGGGGTGTTGTGAGGATGGAGTGGGGCCTCCTGGGAGGTGTCAGCACAGCACCCGTGTGGCTGTGCTCAGTGACTGTCCACGGCAGCTGCACTGCGCAGCGCCAGGTGAGGGCCCGGAGGTGGCACCCCGCCCTCTGAAGGCTCCCGTAGATGCGCTGCAGGGAGGCTGGGGGGTGGGGAGTGGGGGTGGGAGGCCGGGGTGTGAGCCTTGCATGGGGCTGTTCTCAGACCCTGCTTCATCCACCCGCTAGGTGGAGAGCCGGTCCCTGCCTGGCCCCACAGAGCTTCGGCTGCCTGGCTGCCCCACGCCTGTGTCTTTCGGCCTCCTGGTCTCTGTGGCCTTCCCCGTGGATGGAGAGCCTGGTGAGGCAGTCTGGGAAGGGCCACCCACTCACCTCTGCCTCCCTGTTTTTTCGAGCCCATGTGGGCCTGGTGGGAGGGGCGTGAGGAACCTGGTCGTGTTCGTGTTCTGTGGGCATTTAGCCTGGCTCCTGGGCCCTGGGAGCTCAGAGTGATTCTGCAGGAGGCTGGCCCCGGGGGAGACAGGTCAGTTCTGGAGTGGGGTGTGGACAGGAGGTGCGCTCAGTTCCTGGCGGGGCTGGTAGATGAGCTGGAGTGTCAGAGGGTGTTTGTGGTGGGAGGCGCACAGCGTTTGTGATTGGGGCCGACTGTCCCCGGGTCCCCTGGACCCCGTGCCTTTCCGAATGCCCATCCCCATTTCTGCCAGGAATTCCAGGCACCGCCTCTGTCCCAGGTTCCTCATGTCTCGTTATTTCAACCTTGACTGCTCCTGCCCCTCCCTTTTCCAGTCCTCCTGCCTTCAGCTATGTCTGGGGTGAGGGTGAGAATGGCCACTAGCTGGACGTTCTTGAATTTTACCCTCAGACGCAGAGGTCGTGGTAGGGACCACGAGACCAGAGACATTGCCTGGAGACGTGGCAGTGGCTGTTCATCCCGATGACGCCCGATACACAGTAATACCCTGCCCTGCCCTGCCCCTGGCCATCCTGCCCACAGCTTCCTCTCCCCTCCGTCCCCGTGGCAGCGCCTTCTCTCCAGCTTCCCCCGGCTCAGCCCTCCAGGGGCTCTGAGGCTGCCCGGTCTCTTCTCGATGTCGCACTTTTCCTCTTGCTGGGGTTGACCAGGTCTGGCGGGGGCAGGTCCGCGCTGCCTGTCCGTGCGCCTACCTTGAGGCAGGTGGAGGAGCCAGAGGCTGCGTTGGC